GAAAAGTTAGTTCAAATCCAAGGGAATTGAGACTCTGTTCGAGTTAGCGGGGTTGTTCGAGTTATAGGGGTTCGAGTTAGCGGGGTTCTACTGTATATAGAATCGCATAGCTCAGAGAATTCTCGCGCCCTGATTGGTTACCTAAGTAAAGTATTCAGCGTCTTAAAAGCGAGGCTTTGTGTGATATATATAATGGAATATTGCAACATTCACACAGACGTAAATGCTACGGGGCTTTCTTGCATTAAAAATGAAGGCTATGCGATTCCAGGAAAATGCATAACCTGACTCGTGAATTCCACGATATCGGTTTTTCGCGTGAAATTTAACGTGGAATTCCCTCGTCAGGTAATGAATTTCCTTATAGTGTAAAATTGTTATAGCTAAAGTGCAAGTAAACTTAAAAAGGGGTTCAACAGTTATATTAATTTTTAAAAACGTAGAAAACTAAACCCATTTATAACGGGAAAGGAACGGAGAAACCTATAGTAGCCAATGAAAATCATTTGCGGGTTGAACAAACTGAAAGGGAAGGCTGTGTCGACCGAGGATTTGAGACACTACCGGTTTTTTGATCCCACTGGCCGCGTTTCTTAAGGTTCACGCCGGGCTGCCTGGCGCGGATTTCGTGACGTTTTCAGTGGTCAAAAATGGCGCCCAGGTCCACGCTTGCCAGAGAGGGGTCCGGTGACTAGGAAATTAACATAATAAAAGGTTCGCTAGTGCTTTTGGGATGGATTGATCGACCTCGTGGAAGTCTTGGTTGTATGGAGGAAACTTTCTTGGTCTTTTTGATACCAAATTCGAGGTATTTATTCTTTGTTTTCCTATTCTTTGACTTTTTAAAAATGGTGCTACCTTCGATGTTTGATTTTATAGGTGATTTCTACTTGTATAATTTTTTTTTGTCTCTTACAATTCCGAATAATACGCGAAGTTTCAGGTCAACTAATCATTCCTCTCACCTTGCATGTTTTTGTTTTTTACAATTTGTCAGGTAGTCGGGCGCACGATGCCTCCGAAGAATCACAAGAAGTTCAATGTTGTAGCATACTGCCTCCGGTGCCGACAATTTTCTCACATTTGGAGCTAACTGTGAATCAGAATCTTGTGCAGTTGTGCAAAATTATGTGAAAAGTGTATGCAAACAAATTTCAGACCATGAAGGTAAACTCTTTGACGTTGATGGAATGCAAGTAACTTTCAAATTTAGTGAGTTACCGAACGACATGAAAATGTTAGCCCTATTAGCAGGGGAATTGCCAAATTCTGCTAAGTATTTTTCAACCTTTGCCAATGTAAACAAGGATAATTGCAAGGAACTCAATGGCACTTTTGGAACAAGTAATAACACCTGGCAGCCATGGGAGTACAAGGCTAGACTAAAGGTGGTAAAAGAAGCAGAGCAATTCAAACTCTCATTGACAGGAAAAACTCTGTCAGAGAAGGTGCGACGATCAAAGATCACCGAGTTCATTGCACGCAAGAAAAGAAGACAAGAGTTTACACCTTTAGTGGGTAAATTAATTAACAGGGCTCATGTAGAGCCGTTACACCTGAAAAACAATGCTTGGCAACTTTTTTTCAGGGGTTTATTGAAAGAGTCCATTGCCAAGTCAAACCTCCCGTCATCATGCAAGAAATTCACAGATGTCCCAAAGGACAGCTGTTTTAGAAGAGAGGTAAATGCCCTTCGGCTTGAAGTGAAAAGCAAGTGTCTTGCACGAAGAGTGACTGAGTGGTTTGAAGAAACTGAAGCAAAGGGTAGTGATTTGCAGTATAGGTTCACTGGGAAAGACTCAAGATTGTTCTGCCACAATTTCATGCGACTAATTAAGTTTTTGAGTTGTGAGGGTGACTCTAGAAAGCAGAGACTCACTGTTCTCGTGTATGCTTTCAGTGGGCTTAAATTGAGAGATTGTGTTTCACTTCTCAATCGTTTTGAAATCACAAATGAACAAATTCAAGAACTTCCCAGAAAGTCACGGGAATATTTCAGAGCAAATACCTCGTTTCTTCCCACTTCAGTTAATCCAACGGTGTGGACTTTGGGAAACATTGTCTCTGCCTATTGCAAAGAGGTTTTTCAGAGAGATGACCAAGGCCTGTGCACAGTTACAATGGAGGGCAGAGAGCCAAAGCATACTTTTTTAAAGAAGCTCTCTGAAAACAGTTCATTTCAAAGGCAGTGGTATGACATATTTAAACATGAATTTATTATGCCAATTTGGCTGCCAGAGAAAGGATTTGACATATTTCTGTACAAACCGAGCAAGGATGTTTACATCCCAAGTAGAGTTTTTGCCAATGACAACTACTGTTACTGTAGTTAACAAATGGCAGACCCAGCAGATGAAAGTTGTTACTTTTGTGGTGACCAGCTATATAAAGCTATTCAAGACAGTGTTTTGGCAGGAAAAGTTCTCGCTACACTAGCTCGGAAGCTCCAAAGTCCCCAGCAAAAATGATGGTATGGGAAATTTCATCCTATTTGAACAACAAGTTAAAGACACCCTTACTTCCACTTTTGAAAGGCATCAAACTTCGCAAAATATTTTTACATACATTTGAATTTTGTGAACACAAGAGTATTCAGATGTAAACGTTTAACAAGGACATGTTCTCAGCAACTGCCAAATGTCACATTGATACAAAATTTGTTATAGAATAGATTTACCGTTATTTATTACATTTGTCTCCCTGTAGCTTGTTGAAATAAAGGTTCACATGGGTTTCAATCAGTTAATGATTATCTTTTTCCGCTTGTACTCCCCCTCCCAACACACAGAAAAAATGCATGATAACCCCTGCTGTTATGCGTCAGGTTGTCCCAGTGTCTAAGCAGACAAGTAAATGTGTGGAACAACTATGCTGCAGGCTTGTTTCCAGATCAAGTCACTCATTAATATCAAGCTTTATACAAATACAAATTAAGTTATAATTTTACAGAATTT